TGTACTCCTAACATCGCTATCCTAAGTAAAAAGTTTATGGAAATTGCATAATTTCTTGCCAAACGTGTGGCTGGAAGGAATATATCGTGCTTTTTTCCCATTTCAGTTCAGTCTCTTCGTGAGCGATCGTATAGCCTTGAACAGATCGCTGGACGACTATCGGAAACCATCGTGTAGAGCGAAAAAGTACAGAGGTGGGCGAGATCTCGAATCAAACTTATGGGTATCATTATTAAAGAATAATGTTTAGATATCTCGGAACTGCCGTCCACTTCCGTTATTATCGTCTATCATAATGAAGCCTTTTCCACACTACTACGCACTACACAAAGTGTCGTCGATCGGTCACCTCGTCCACTTCTGAAAGAAATCATTCTCGTAGACGACTTTTCAAATAGAAGTCAGTCTGGTGCCTTTGAAAAACATAGAGACCTTACTACCTTGTACTTGTTTCAGCTTTTCTCAAATATCCAACTTTGGACAATGCAATACGGAGTTACCCAGTACCGGTGAAAATTCTGCGAACGAAACAGCGAGTCGGTTTGATCCGGGCGAGGCTGATGGGAGCACAGGTAACCAGCCCCCTGGGTAGTTCTTAGTATCTTCACAAAGCCTCATTTTGTCAAATTCAGGAAGCGACAGGTGATGTGCTCACTTTCCTTGATTCCCATTGTGAGTGCACCGAGGGATGGTTAGAGCCGTTGCTTGACCGAATAAAGGAACATCGGTACGTTTTTGTCTTCAAAAAATGAAATTTGTGCAAAATGCAATGATGCTCGGTGAACTACTAAGGCTGCGCTTCACAACATTTTGCGGCAGCGTCTACCAGCTTCAAGCGACTGGGAAATATATTATCGAAATCTAGCATCTGCCAGCGTCTGCCAACGATTCCAGACGACCAGCCAGCAGCACTGTCAGTCAGCTGGAGTGAGAGTTAAATGGGGCGACAGGGAGCCGGTACCGGACTGCACGCCTACCTTACCTATCTCCCCTACTACCATCTTTCTGACCCTCCTTTATTTGTTTATTTTCATTCTTTATTTTATTTTGATTTATTTCTTTTTTTTTTTTATTTTATATATTTTATTTATTATTTCTATTTTTTTATTGTTATTTTTACGTTGTTATTTTTATTTTCTTAATTTTTTATATAAATTTTTATATTTATTATTAACTTCCTTTTTTATTCTTATTTTCTTTTTATTCCTTTTCGGTATATGTTTTATTGCCTATGACTGTCCATCCCTTGCCGCTGCTGAGTCGCGGTGGCTAGAGGCCGGCAGAGCCAGCAGACGCTAGATCGATATCAATTCTAGTCCCTGACAGTGCCGAACCGCTCGTCGAACGCTGCGTGGACGCTATCCGATCAAAGCTGGAACGCAGCCTAAGGAAAATAAGGCCCGCAGCTGTTGTAGTGCGGACCATTACTGAGAGAACCAACATTAATCGAGCTGTGTTGTCGATAAATCATTTTTTAGGAAAGCAGTCGTTTGTCCTGTCATTGATGTCATTAACGATCGCACTTTTCAATATCAGAAGGGTCTCGATATGTTCCGTGGTGGCTTCAATTGGAACCTTCAGTTTAGGCACGTGTTACAATCACCTAGGACTCCACTGAAATTATTGACTTGATTTTTTCAGATGGTACGCCATGCCATCCGATATGGCAAAGCAGCGTCTGGTCGATCCAACCTCTCCGATACCGTACGTACAGAACTTGTCAATATATGGTAACGAATGGGGGTTTATGAAGAATTTTTTCAGCTCTCCAACTATGGCTGGCGGACTGTTCAGTATAGATCGTCGCTACTTTGAAGAACTTGGCACTTACGACCATGGAATGGATATATGGGGTGGAGAAAATTTGGAAATTTCTTTCCGAGTGAGTATGATTTTTAGCAACTCTCTTCACTTAATTTTTTTTTCTTGAAGGATTTTCTCATATTGTCTTGAGCTTACGTGGCTCCCCCATTTAGTAGGAGTCAGATTTCCTCTAACTGGTTCTTTTTTTCCTAAGAGGATGTTTTTGCCTACGAGAAAGTCACAACCGTAGTTTGGACTCCGTCCACACGAACAATATGAGCTGCACCTTCGACTTATTCTCGGCGGACGCTGAGGCGTTTCACGAGGGGAGACGGCTCGGTCTGGAGCCGCCAGCCTGTCCCCCCCCCAGTTGTGGAAGCTGGCAAGCCACCACAGTCAGTGGACAATAGTCTGGGGCCGCGCTAGACCCATCCTACCCTGAAACGCGCCAGCGTCCTGCAGAGCGCGTATGCTTTGCGATAACGATTATGAGCTACTTTGACTTCATACTTACCTCACAGATTTGGCAATGCGGCGGTCGAGTAGAAATCCTTCCATGCTCTCACGTTGGACATATCTTTCGACATGCTTCACCCCATGATATTCCTGGAAACTCTTCTGGCAAGGCGAGTTTCACATCAGATCCCATTCACTGACCAATCTGATTTACAGTATTTCAGGTCCTAGATGGAAACATGGTCCGCGTGGCCGAAGTTTGGATGGACGAATGGAAGTTCCTTTTCTACAAACTATCCCCACGTGAGGATTGTCAGCAGCCTTCTAGAGAATCGCTTCACCCATTGGGGATCGTTTTAGAGACAGCGAAACTCCGCAGTGTTGTGGACCTGAGCGAGCGCCTTGAACTTCGACGTCGTCTGGGATGCAAAAGTTTCCGATGGTATCTCGAGAACGTGTTCACCGACCATCACATGCCAATGGAGGGCGACTTTTTCGGTCGAGTACGTAATCCGTAACAATCTTCGCAATATTGACTTACTTTATCGTTGGAGTGGGCGTGCAGATCCGCCCACTTGGGGTGTCCGCTACATCGTGTTGTGGCGAGAGGCACTAGAGAGACGTTTCAGTAAGGTCACGCCCGCTGGGATCTGAATGACTTAACGTGGGAGCGTCATACTACGTCGAAATTAGTAGCTAAGAATTAAATTCTCTCAGTTTATATGCGTCCCTCGGATATGTAACATCTCACTGCCCAACGCACTGAAGACAAAGCAAATTTTTGCAGAAAGACCGGGACTCTGAAGCTTTCACTCCGGAAAAGGGTAATGACCTAGTGAATGATCATTTCTGCATCACCCTCAGGTCTACCGACATTCTGTTGGAATCTTATCAACATGAAGTGACGGTGAACCAATTTAAGTAAATCTGCTCGGATGGCGACTATCCCGATTTTGCACAAGGAACTTTTGAAAAGCCTCCTCGAAGCTCCTACATTTCCTTGACCTTATTCCTTTGGGTATTCCTGAATTTCTACTACAACGCCCCCTTCTTTCCCAGATGTGAATGAAGTGGGCATTTGAGGAAAGAGACCGAAAAAGGCGAGTGGCTCAATACTGGTACGAGCGCCGTTCAAAGTATTCTCGGTATCGAGAAATCCAGCAGTGGCGCAGAAATTAAAATTATTCCAATCGGTATCTACACTCCCTGAGGGTATAATTACGAAATTCATTAGGTTAACATCAATGCTGTTCTTGTTATCCTTGGTGAAAGAAGACCAGAATGACTGATGCGACAATGTTGAGAAAATGATTACTGATTAAAAAAAATTGAGAAAATGAAAAGAAAATTGAAAAAATGATTAGTGATTACTTCTTGTTCCCCAACCTAAAAAATCTTCGTGGAAAGCGTTTTTCTGACGATGAAGAGCTGAAGGCGGCAATTAACGCACATTTTGGGGACAAGGAGGAAAAATATTTTTCAGGGTATTGAAAAGTTAGTTTCCCGAGCAAACAAGTGTTTTGAGGTTAGGGGGACTACACTGAAAGGCAAATTTTATTAAGAATCCTTTACTTATACCAAGAATACATTGAACACTCCTCATATTTTACGAGCGGTTTTTTTTGCTGTAGAACCGGAATGAGCATTTTCCTTCTAATGGATGAAAACATACTTGGAATGATCACGTTTTCTTCAGATACATTTCCCTTCTGACATTTCCAACGCAACCTGTATAGCCTGGACTTTAGCCATGTCAGGCATCAAAAAAGTCACGCAGGCTCCTTGCCACGACAAAACTGACAAAACTCAGGTGAATGATTGAAAATTTGAGGTTATGATGGCGACGGTTTCAGATTTCTCTAGACTCGAGTGAATTATGTATGGGTTAATCGGCCAGGAGAGCCAGGAACTAAGAAACATCAGTTGAATATGGCGCCCTGTACGTTGGGATTCGATCATTGGCAGGTTTGTCGAAAGTTTTACTGAAAGGAAAAGTGAATTTCAGCGTACAGGGTGCGATAAATTAGCTCTAAGGCTCAAACTCAGACCTCTCGTTTCTTTTTCACCATCAAGTTCAACACTCTTCATTGTCTGAGCTATTCTGTCTGCTCTTGATTACCTGATGAACTACTGAAACTACTACTGAACTACTTTTGTAGGAATTTTGCTTCCTTGCTGAAGTGGCCCATAGTCGTTTTCGCTGCAGACCTTGGGGCCTTTCAGGATGGGGAAAGGGAGGAGAGTCGGGCTCGGCGAGATGCCTACCCGCTCTCCACCAGCTGTTGCTACTTTCCCCTTCAACAACTTTTGGACAATGTGGTGCAGAGAGGCGCGTTTCAGGGGGACTGGTGCTGCGTCAAACCCAGCCCCTGACACGCCCCAGCGTCCGCAGCGAAAGCGACTGTATATGGAAGTGGGCTGAAGAAAATGTGGAATGGTCATGTTTCTCATGAAATCCCACCTGGTATGGCGTATTTTTTCAGTTCTGGATATACACAAAGGACGGACATCTGAAGTCCGATGAGCATATGTGCCTTTCAGCTACTCAGGTAGTGCACACTAATGGGGAATGGGCCGTGCAGCTGAAGGAATGTGCTGGTTACGACATGGAAATCTGGGAATACAACAGACAGGTCTGTATGAAGCAAATCCATTCTTTTGACTTGACGAAACAAAATAGAAAGTACAGGAAAAAGAGAGGTTTGTTGAAAAGAAAAATCTGGAGGGTGGAGGTTGACTGCAAACTTCCTTTCATGGGCAAAGAGAGTGGGGTTCAAATACCCATGTCAATGTTGTAGGTAGTTCACACATGGAGGAAGAGCAGACGTATTTGGTTGCTGGAAGAGGGGGAGGAGGGTCGTTTTGGATCTAACAAACTTTTCTAATAGTTCTTTTTCTTCTTTCACGAAAGCCGGAAAGGAGGTTTGTATTCGTATCCCCTTCACTTGGCAAGCAAAAAACCCTTGGAGAAAAACTAGAAAATTTTCAGGAGCTGAAAACGGGAAAGCTGAAAAAAGTGCTAGGAATTTGAGAAAATCTAGGAAAATGTAAGGTAGGACGAGGAAGGTTGGAGGGTCGTATCAGAGGAGGGAAACGGTGTGGGACGTCGTATTCTCCGAAAGATTTCTCCCCGGCATTACGTGCCCTGTTTATACTCCCGTACGAGCATCGTACCAATCAACTAGCCGCGGTGGGTTGGAAAGCTGTTTGTTTGGGCGAGATCGCTTACGGGGTTCAATCCTATGAACCTTCTGCTGCTCCTAATATTGCTTGTTTGAAGAAGGAAACTTGCGAATTTGAGTAGGAGGCTTGTTCCAAGTGTTTTTTTCCATTCCTGCGAAGGGACCTCATATCCAAGAACATAGGGTTTTTCTGTTCAAATTGCTTGAGTATGAAACTCCTTTGGCCCCCGATTGCATGTTAGCAGCGATTTCTGTCATTTTCCAGAGACGCACGCTAAAGCACCGTCAAAGCGGTCTCTGCTTAACTCAGCGAGATCCTGAAATGGAAAAGTCAGAGAACCTATCGCCGCCAACCATCACATCATGCGTGCGTGGTAGTGAACAACAGGTAAGAAGCATATTCAGATACTCAATCATGATTCGTTTGAGCACTAAAATGGAAACGAAAAAAAGGATAAAGTCTCCGCCGTTAATCAATGGATGCGGCACGCATTCTACTTCCATTCAGAATCGTAGTGGCTTATTGAATGCGATGTGGCCTATACAATGACTTGCGGGGGCCAGCCGATGTACAAGTCAGTGTTTTATCCTCCCAGACGAATCTGGTACCAATTTACCGTCCCCGGAGGGTAGAAGGCTTGGTTGGCCTGGGCGGGTGTCGACCCGGGATTCGGACCGCGCGAGTGGTAAGCGCGCCACTTGTCACTACACCACCTCCGCCTCAAAATGGAAAGGTTAGTTCCAAAAATTCACGAAATAAGCAACTTGTGAAAGTACCCTTCCTAGTGATCTTCCACCCTATCTTGTATTCTAGTGAGAGGAACTTGGCTGTGTCGGCTCGCTAGCTGGCACTTACTAGCTCATTTAGTTGACTCAGCGTAACAATACCCAGTCAATCCAGTTAGTTCCTGGTTCTAATATCGTGCACGTAACACTACCTGTAAAGCAGGGTTTGCAGCGTCACCGTATCATATATCTCCCTAATAACCTCTATTTATGTACATGTATCTGTTTCTAAAATGTAGAAAGTTCAAGGACTTGAGTTACTTGGAGGGGTAAATGTGCTCTGAGAAGCATCTCAACCGTTATCGTTTGATGCCTTCCTCACTGGTGTGCTTTTTGACGGGGTGGCAATGCGGAGGCTTCAGTAAGGGAAGAGTGATGATAGGCATGGGCCTCCACATGAAGAGCATGAAAGAAGCCGAAGTTAACAACGAGCAGTGCCTGCTG